TGTATTTTTTTTTTTACTTTACCATCTCTCTGTACCAGCTCCCTCATTGGTCATTTTGTGACTAAGTGTGGTAATCTCACCATGTATGATTTAAAAGTTAAATCTGAAGTGGCTGTTTTTCACTGATTCTCCCGCTCCTCCATAATTTAACAGCTTAATAAATACGTGCAGATGTTTGATTAGAGGCACATGGTCATTAATCGCATCCTTACGATCCTATAAAAAATGATCAGAGTGCTGCCTCATGTTCATTTAGTGCTACATAGTTAATGAATGCCAGCAGATTTTTATAAACTGACAAGTGCAGTATAGAAATTATACTCAGAAGTTCATTATATACGGGGATCTTACTTCGACATAAATCAGGTGCTTTCCAGCATCATCTACTAAGAAGAACTCATGGCATCTATTTAGTGGTGTTGTGATTAAAATGTGTATTTCCCACTACGTTAACTTCAGTTGTTTGATTTTACCTTTGGTTATAGAGTTGGGTTGAAAAATTCAGGTTATTTTCAGCAGCCCCGATACAGCTATTAGGATGCCAAATAATAATTTTCAAGTAAAACCATAATCTTTATTTTGATCTATGTAATTCAGAGAAAATGATTATGCTTTACTTTAACTTTAATTTAGTTGTATATAGATAATGAAGAGATTAAAGGTAAATTAAAATTTCTTCAAGAAGAAAGAAGCTGCACAAATGCTTTTAGAGCCTGGATAATTACCAAGGCTGTTTTTAAATAGTCTCTCATCCAATATCATGCAATATTCTTATAGAAATAAGGGGTATGAAAGCTTTATGTAAACCGAAAGCAAAAGATGCTAAAGTTAATAGGATCAAGTCTACTTTATTTGTTATTTGTGTCCCACTTGTCTGTTATTAGCGTGTTATTACAATTTTTACAGACGTATTTGATGTCTGTAATGGGGGGTTGACTCCTTTTGAGGTTAACATGGAATAGATCGCTTGTATTATGCAAACAGCAAGAGCGTATTTGCATTTCCTTATTGCCAGTTATTACACGTTAAGTTTGGACCTAGGAACCTTGGGAAAGTTCTTGTTTCTGGTACAACCGGTTGCTGACGGTGTAGGTTATCACCGACAGTTGTAAGTGTTAGAAACTTGCAGTATGCTTTAATTTCTTTCCTTCTCTTTGTGGAATATCAAAGTAACAATCTCAATAAGGTAACTGCTTAAAGGGAAAGGATAAACAACAACTATTTAGATACATGTAGGTAAATGTAGGCGTCAAGAGGTTAATTTAGACATTTTTCTATTTTATTTGAACCATTTTTTTTCTCAGGTGTTATAGCTGTACAATTAAATTCCCATTAAAACAAGTTAATTTAAAAGTCTAATTTGTTGTGAGTTTTCTCTCTTTTACTTTAGTATTAAGTTTGGTTAGGCGGCCCATACATTATCCATTGAAAACACAAAGTTTCTCAAACTGCTAGTTTATGTTTTTTAACTTTGGTCCTACAAGGCCAAATGAAAACAAATAAATAAATGAATAAATATAATTTCTCACATTGATTATCCACAATAAGATAATTTGTGTAGTTTATTGTTTTTATTTACCCAAATTCAGCCTTTAGGATTTATGAGAAATCAATTCTATTAATTCTGAAAAATGAAACAGCAAAACAGTCCCACAAATCACATTACTGCCAACATGTTTTACTCTCTTTATGGTGTTTTGTTTCTAAGATACTGAAATACTGTCTGTATTAAAAGAAAATCTGGTCTTCCCTGTCCATAAAATCTGTTCCCAAACTCTTTGGAATGATGTGACATAGGTTTTTGTTTTGTTTTTTTGGTCAGAATGATTTTCACTTTGCTGACGTACAAGATGCTGGTTGTTTCTAAATATGCATACTCGATATGTGCTTGTGAAACGTCATCAACCTCAGGCCCAGCATTGTTCCAATTGACAAAAACACAAGGCCGAGAATGACCAAAAATCCCCCAACGTTGTCCTCCTCCCTCCCTCTTTACCCAGCATGCATCAGAGCAGACAGCTCATGCCACCTTATGAATCACATAATCTGAATGATTTTTGTATGAACATAGATTATCATATATATATATATATATATATATATATATATATANATATATATATATATATATATATATATATATATATATATATATATATATATATATATATATATATATCTTACAGCTACAATACTACAATACATCCTTTTATAATTATGAAAGTTTATGTGTATTTTCAAGAAATGTACAGTCCTTTAAAACGGGTCCTAAAAAGGCATAGAAGCTGGTAAATAGAGCCCCACATCATGAATTATCTCCCCATGCTTCAGCAGGGGGATTCAAGGAAGTTAATGTTTCTTGATTTTGTTAAGGATTTCTAACTTTGTCCCTGCAAATAACAGATATAGGAAGTCTATAAGAGTCAATGCAACTAATTAGGGAACCAAGTCTATTTATTTTCATCTGATGTGAACAGCAATAGAATAGCTCCCCCCTGTGGATCTTCCAGGACATGGCACGGTTAATCATCCAAAATCAATTTGACTCTTGAGAGGCCATTCAGATTTGAAGTGTAAAGACAGGCACACATATTGACTATAACATTTATAATGTATTTAGTAAATAACAGAACAGAAATATTAAACTGCTCTACTTAAATTCTATGACCTTATAAGAAAATCCACACGTCATAGAGAAAAAATAATGATTTAAAGCTAATGCAAAGACCAGCCAGCTTGTATTAAGTATGTCTAAGCAAAAAGAGAAAATCATTAATGAAAAAATGAGCTTTGACATCCTCTCCTTTCTCTTCTCTGTTTTAGTAATAGAGTGTCTGATCAATCCAGGACAGAATAATTATGAAGTTCTAGGTGCCACACTGTAAGGAGAGGTCACTTTAATCAGCTCTAAGTATTACTTGGCAAATTAACTTGGATCTGGGTCAGAAGGCTTGCAAGAGTTTTCTCTTACCCACTTTTCATGCAGCTTTCAAGCTTTGCTGTTTTTTTTTTTATATATATATATATCAGCAAAGCCCTGCTGCCAAATGCCTCAGAGGCACGGAAGGCCTCCATCACCCCCAGAACATGTAGCATCCCCCACAGATTCTGATTTTGAAGAGTAAGGAAAAGGATACATGGTTTTTCCAACATCTTTTCAGTCTTTGATGATAATGTATTTTATTTAGTGGTAAGAGTTACAGGATCTGAATTCAAATGAATTCTAAACCTTTGAGGCTTTTTTTCATCAGAAAAGGATTTATCCCTTCTGCCGAAATGCAGTCATTTGTTTTGATCTTTCACATAAAACTATAATATATTACAATAAGGTTTCAAAGTTTATCAAAACGGAAACACCTTTTGCAAGGGGCCAAATAAACACATAGCACAATCTACTATATTTTAGGTGTCTCTGATTTTTATTAATTATCTTTGGCATACTTCTGCAGCTCTACTGGACTCTACATGGGCTAAATTCGGTGTGTTAAAGGACATATCTAGATGATGGTTATTACAAATTTTGGACTGAATCACTGTCATTGATGGTATGGTCTCCAACATCTATTTAAATCAATTTGATTCATAAAATTACTGTCAAGGTTGGGTGGAGGTTGGTTGAGGACCTAATTGTAGAGAAGAGTTCTTGCAGATTTAATTTGGATGCAACAGGAACAGAAATTCAGGAACAAAGAACAAAAAATCAAAACCAGGAGACACCAGAGGTGAAACACACATGAGCGAAGCAATGAAGAGAAACCAGCACTGAAGAACTGCACAGGAGGTGTATATATGGGAGACAGAACAAAGACTGGTGTAATCAGCTAACAGGGAGCAGGTGTAGATAGAAGCAACTAGAAGGAAACTAGGGGAAAGGAGACTGGCACAAGGGGGCAACAGAGAGCAACACAAAAAACACAACACTGCTTAAATATAACTAGAAAACAACTATGTTGACACCAAACAGAAAAGAATCCAATAACCAAGAAAACACAGAATCACAGTTGAAATTAAAACCCAAAAAGCAGTCCACAAAGGGCAGAACTATGACAAATACTTGAATGTGCTGTAACCGTAGATGCAATTTTCATATTCATCTCTTGGACAGCCTCATATAGCAGCCCCCAAATCTGAGTCTTATCACTCAAACTTTTCTTATCAGTTAATTAAATATTGTCCTGCAACTCTTCAAGGTGCAGGGGTTGTGTTTTGTTCCTCTTATGCATGACTGCTGGGATAATCTCCTGGCCTTTAATGACCCAGATGAAAGCAATAAAA